AAGTCCTGTGCAAAAACGCATGATCGCACGGGCCCGCCCGGTGCGTTCCAGCCTGGGTTATAATTTGAAATTTGAGCGCACTATAAACCCAAATTGTATATGCAAATGAACCGCAATTGTATATGCAAATGAACATGGGTTCTTTGAAAAACAACCGTTCGAGCGTCGTTTTTCGAAGAATCCATGTTTTTCAAAGAAGCTTTGAAAAACAGAAGTGTAAGTTAAATGATCTAAAATCTTGTTGTAAACCTTCTTGCGTGCTGGCTTGTAATATCACTTTCAAATACTGGGCGGCACTGAACTTCCTGGATGAAACAGGCTGTGAATCTGAAGTTTAGTGCATTTTTTCGTGAATAAGTTAGAAGGGATTTATGACGATCCAAATTATGCCAGTACTTGCTGTGCGCTGCGACAGCTTGTCGCTAGAGCACATAACCGTGCCAGCCATCTGATGCACTTCGCCCCTTCAGTCTTTTTATTGTTTTAAATAAAAATTGATCGAAAAAGTAGAACGAGTTCTTTTCAAAAAAAATTTTTTTAACGCATTTTTTCATTGCATAGGTTGACACGTTTCTTTGTAAGATTAAGATTTTTCATTAGTATAGCGGAGAGATTCGCTGGTGCTAGAAAGGGAGGGGTAGGTGCAATAAAACCATAAAAATTGCCGCTTTTTTTTCTCAAGAAAACAGTGGTTTCTATAATTTCTGTTCGTTATACCTAGGATACTTGAAACAGCAGCTGATTCATTGCCTGGATCTCCGCCCGATTACTTTTGCACTAGTTACAATTGCTTGCTTTCCGCATCCACATAGCTACGCACAGTGGGCTGGCCTAACATGCCAGTGCGTTCGGACTGCTTTTTTAAAAATTACTTTCTCTACCACGAACAAGCTTCCTCAAAAAAACTGGTTGGTGAAAAGTGCCTTTAAGTTTTTCCCCTTAAAATGCGCTTTTGAAAAATTTCTGGCTTCACAAATGCATCTCTGGGTTGTTTCAATTCTCATCGAATTCCCGATTGCTCGAAACTGGATCACAACTTGGCCGATATTCTGCCTTTTTTTTTGCAAATGCTGATAAGTTTCAGTGGTGCGACACATGCATGCCTTGTATTTGTGGATGAAAGCGGCAAACGATGTGGTGAATGGACGATGCAGCAGGGGCTGAATTGCTGCTTGCAGGGGTTTGAGGCTGCCGATCGAGTTGCGAAATGGATTCGGGCAGCCAAAAAGAAAATTGGTATTACTGGTCCTCTTGCTGCTGTGGTAATCATTTTGTGGGTGCTTGATTTCTTTCCAGCATTTCAGCAAAAAAAAAATTGAACTGATATTAATCATTGGTTTATTAACTACTAATCACTTCCCAAGTCGGTACGCGTAGACGATGGGTGAGTTCTAGGGCTGGCAGCTAAGGGCAAGTCTTGCATGCCGTCAAAGGCCAGGCGTAGCTGCACTTAGAACATGGTTTCATCCGGTAGTGTTGGGAGTTCGAAGCTGTGGTCCGAGCGATCGTGGTAATTAACAGACTGGTTGAAAATATCTCGTGAAAGTGGACTTGGCAGGTAGGAGCGCGCTTGAGCTATTGTTTTTATGTGGCAGCTTTATGCCTGGTTGGTGCACGCTGATATGTCCCTGGCGCACTTTTAAAACGGATGAGCTCGAAAGATTGCCTTCATCTACTGGAACAGTATCCAGTTGATCAGCACATGCGTTAAACAATGTTATGCATTCTTGCTGCTTGGGTCAAAGAGGTCTTTTATTGCAGGGAATGGGCCTTTCGGGAGCCGAAGATGAGGCACACAATCAAAGATTTGTTGATTTTTTGAAGGATCAGCATGGTGATGTTGCTTTTGAGTTTCTGCTAGCTTCCGATGCAGTTATTGCGATCGCCGCCTCATTTCAAAAAGGTATGCATCACATATCACAATTTTTTAACATTAGATAATAACTTGGGTTTGCTAGTGGAATTTCCTTCTCGATTTTCATCTTTTCGGAACATCCTCCAAATTTCCTCGCCTTTTCCTCTTGCCCGTCATTTTTCTTTTTTTTTTTTTGCTTTCAGTATTTTTCATTTTAGTTTATTCCCCTCTCAGTTTTATCGTGTCTTCGATCTTTCGCATAAAAACCTGGTCTCTTCACCTTGCTTTTAAGGTTTTAATGATTCCCACTATTGTGTTCACTTTTATGTTCGGGTAATTGGCTGCTAGTGGAAGCGAAGATAGAAAGGAGGGAGTGAATTTTCTGTTGCTTCGGGCAATTAGTCAGCCGGCGTCTTAAAAACATGATTCGTGGCGATTGTGGCGTATTAATCTCACACTGGCACCAGACTGAAGCTCTTACTGGAAGATTTTTTAGGTGGTGTGGTGGTAGTCGCGGGGACGGGCTCCAGCTGTCGCCTGTTGAAAGCGGACGGAAGCGTGCATGGCGTTGGCGGTTGGGGGCATCTTATTGGCGATGGTGGTAGCGCTTATTGGATTGCAAGAAGGTATGTACAGAAGAAG